TTGGGTATATGAATACTCCAACTGGTTTGGGTTGAATAAATATGTAAACCTAGGATTAAGTGCTATGTAGCTTTAAGCACAAGAAACTGCAATGTCATTGTGGGTGCGGTTGCAGGCAGCCATATAGGTAGGAGGGGAAACGTAATAGCCCCGGCTTCTGGATGCAACTGTCTGAGTCCGGCTTCTGGATGCAACTGTCTGAGTCTGGCTTCTGGATGCACCTGGTTACTGTTCCTGGTCTACTGTGTGCTGGAACATCTATCTGCTTACTTTGGAAGCTACTGTGCCAGATACCATTTCACCTGAACACAAGGACTGTTTACTGGTGAGCTGTGGATTCAGCGTTAGTACTTGAGAGAAAGGTATCATATGGAGAAGATTACAAGCAGATAAAGACATTGTATTTACTGTTTAATGGACTTGATAACTGAATTGATAAACTGGATACTGACATATGGACTGAATGACTATTCTTAATCTCTGTATGAATTAAATACCTATTTAAAACCACAAACAGTGTATTTGTCTCAAGTGTGTGTATACTCATGGGCCCAGCCTCTCTCTCATTTGGCTGCCTGGCTTGACTGCTGCTGTGCACTCAGCTCAGGGGTTTATCCCCAAACACCAACAATCCTTGCAGTTCTAAAGTGCTTACTTGATTTCCTCTATTTTTATTTTTTTTCCTCTCACAGCAATAACAGTTTGGTCTGCAGAGCCAAGCTAAACAATCAGGCTTGAAAAAGCTTAAAACATACCCTCTGTAATATTTTGTAGGATATGTTCGTGGTCACGTGTGCATCCATGTTTTTAGTGGATGGAACGTGGACCTTCCCCCTAGCTGAGATCTTAAGTGACAAAGAAAAAGTTGCATGCCAGCCTTCTCTATCTGGATTCTGTCTTGATCAATTGGCCTGCAATTCTGAAAATTCTTAGGCTACGCTGGTTAGGAATTTTAGAACCGTAATTTCATCAACTCTGTGAAAACTCCAGATTATAAAAGGCTCTAGGAGTTCTTCTCATTCCACTTTCCCTCTTGGCTTTCTTCTTTCAGTGCCTAATTATGGAGAACAGAAAGATTTCAGATGGAGAACTAGATATTATATGGCAGTCATCGCCCACAATACTACTGGCCGCCATTCTTACTCCTTTTGTATATCGTCAGTATGAGTAAAATGGAAGAAGAGGACATTACTTGTGTAAGTAGCTGTGTGAAAGAAATTCCACTCCCAGGAAGTGTGGTCTAAAGCATGTGGAAATCTGCCATTTTGATCCAAGATATACTTTTCATCTCTGATGATGCTCCTCAGGAGAAGATCTTTTAACATTTCTGGGACTGCCAAATAATTCCAGCCAGTCTCTGTTGAGTTTAGGTCTCTGTCCCCTCCCCCCATTCCACAGGGGTGCCACAGTAGCAACCCCAGGGCACAGGCTGCAAGTAGGAGCAGGAAGAATCCTTGAGAAAGACAGGAATGATCGCCAAGACGGATGGTTCAGGAAGACAGATATTTGCCCAAACAGGAGATGTCTGGATTCTTTTCATTACCACACCTGCTTCATTTCTCTTGTGTTTGATTGGGATGAGGAAGCTATTGTGCTTGAGCTAAAAATTAGCAGGATAATATTCCTTGCACCTTGCTTCTTTATTGCATTTACACCTCCCCTGCAGAGGATTCTGTCCTCCAGTCTTAATCCTCCAACAAACAAGTTTAGGAGGTAGCTTGAGCTGAGAGGGAAAGAGTGACTGATCAATAATGATAATGGTTTCCACCACTCGGGGGAATCTCCCAAGTCCTTAGTTCGACACCTTAAATGTTACACCATGTTGGCTATCTGGTTTAAAGCTGGCTATATGGCTGATTCTCAAGCGCTACGGAGGATTGGAGGACTACGTGGGAATTACAGGGCCATAGTCCAAAGTGACATCTGAAGAAAACAAAGATTATAGGAATGCAGTCATGGGGAGAGGAGTACGAGTTCAGGCCATTTCCCCCTTTTCTTGCAAGTAATGCCACCAAAGTGAGATACAGGTAGTCCTTGATTTACAACTACAATTGGGAGCAGAATTTCCACTGCTAAGCAAGGCAGTGGTTAAGTGAGCGGTGGCTTGATTTTCTACCCTTTTCCCCACCGCTGTTAAGTGTATCACTGCAGTTGCTAAGTGAATCACGTGGTTGTTAAGTGAATCCAGCTTCCCCAAAGACTTTGCTTATTAGAGGCCAGCTGGGAAGGTTGAAAATGGCAATCACATGGCCCCAGGATACTGCAATGCAACCAGCAAAAATGCACGCTGGTTGCCAAGCACCAAAATTTTGATCCTGGAAGGCTGCAGGTATTGTAAATACAAGTACTGGTTGTAAGTAAACTTCTTCAGTGCTGCTGTAGCTTTGAACTGTAGCTAAATGCATGAGGTGTCAGGGTTCCAAGTAATAAATTTATGGTAAGCAAGACTCTGAGGCAATTGAATTCCTCAAAGAATGTTTCCATTGGAATTATCACATTGGCACATATCTGGTGAAAACCGACTCTGAAAACTCCTGTGGTTTTCACCTAATTAAAATTAAAACATTTTCTACTTTCTCAAAACAATCAGTCACATGGTCCAATCACTATGCAGTCTAACAACCAGGTAGCATCACTCTGCTTTCTCCGACTAGGTGTGAGAATGTCTGTCATGCCCCTGTTGGAATCTGACTCGGAGGGGGAAGCCGAACAGCTGATAGGGAGTGGGAGTGTGGCTCCGTTGGCTGTGGAAGAAACTGGGGAAGGGCAAAGTCTGGCTGGGCAGAGCAGGAGAGAGGTAGAAGAAGGTAGAGGGAATTTGGAGGAAGACCCAGGCTCACCCCCTCTTCATCCTAGGGCACGCAGGGAGGAACAGGGAAGGGAGCAATGTGAGTTGCGTGGCTTACGGGGCAGGAAAGGGCCCTGATTCCCTTCGTTACCTGCAGCTGGGAACACAGTGTTTAAAAAGGGAAGCTGCATGCGGCAAGCTGTTGGGAGCAAATGTGAATTTAGCTTGTATCGTCGTGGCTTATCTGTGTTCCTGGCATCTTCCCAACTGTGTGAGTTTTGTCATGCTTTCAAGTCTGAAATTCCTTCTCCTGCCCTGTCAAACTAATTACTTCAGCTTGGTTTGTTTGGATTTTTAGTTACAGTTTGTATGTACCTTGTTTTGGATTGAATTTTCTACAGTCAAAGGCTGTCCCTGGGAGAGTTTTTCTCCAGCTGAAGGTAACCTGGGCATTGGGGACAAAGTTGGAGATAATAAAGGGACCCTTATTGCTTATTTGACTGTGTTGCCTTTGTGCCATGCCCCGAGTCATTGTTGCAATATCATGACACATCAGTAGGAAGTCACGTACACAGACAACCCACTACACATACAATACACATATAGGGCGACACTATAGGAACAGCAATGTGTAAAACCTGAGTCAGCTATAGCACAAGGATTAGCCATATATGGCAGTGTTTCCTGTTCCTGTGTAAAACCTGAGTCAGCTATAGCATAAGGATTAGCCATATATGGCAGTGTTTCCTGTTCCTGTGTAAAACCTGAGTCAGCTATAGCATAAGGATTAGCCATATATGGCAGTGTTTCCTGTTCCTGTCTAACCTCATGTGTAACCAACCCCCCCCCTGCTTGCTGCACAATAAAAGAGAGGTGCGTAGTACTATCTGTGCTTCCTCTCACCAAAAGAAACCTTTGTGTCGCTGTCATCTTTGCCATCAAGAGGAGCCCACCCAGACAGTCTGCCTGGGTGCAGGTCGTCAGCTGATTCATCCTGGCACTGGGACCCGCAACGCATCAAGTCATCACAATGTTCTTGGTTCCCAAGAGAAAGTATTTTGTTTTGGCTACAAAATCCCCTCTATCTCACAACCCTCCTCTTCACAATCCCTCAACTCCAGGGTGGAAACACTGAATCAGTCAAAATGGCTTCGGTCAAGCCAGCTTCAGGGTTGACACAAGGTCTACCTCCACATTACTTGGTTCATTGTCCTTTAGCCATTTCATCCCTGGATTCTGCTTTATTTTTAAAATGAAACCAATTTTTGGCATGCCTAGTTATATGCATAACAAATGTACATATAGTAAAAGTCTCATTTATTATGCTAGGTTCCGCTCCACTCAACAGCTTCTTCCCCACTCTGAAATGAAAACAGCAGCGATCTCTATTTAATGATTGCATGAAGTTGGTTAAAAACAGCAGCTCTTTTAAAGGGTTGGGTTGGAGCGTAATCCAGTCATAATACTTTCAGCACATGGAGGTATTTCTTGGAAGGGCTATCAAAAGATTTCACAGTTTTGCCCTTGGCAGTGCCAGAAACAATTTTAAAAAGAGAGAGAGAGTGTGTGTGTGTATACTCTACCTTGGAAGAGGCACAACAAATAAACAATTGCTAAGGAAAAGGGGGCTGTAAAACGTGGTCCTTCATATTTCTTTTCTTCCTTTTTCCCCTTGCCCCACCCATCTGCCCTTTGGAAGCCAAACGTTCCTTTGAAAGAACTTTTAGCTCAGTACATTTCACTGATGGATTTTATTTTTATTATTATTATTATTTCCTTGCTTGGAAAGTTGTTTAATTGCTATTCAGGCTTCATTTTTTTCCTGGATGTTCAGAGCGTTTCTGCTTTGCTTGGTTTTTGTTCTAAATGGGAAAGCATGGGGAAATCTCTTGGGAGAGAAACACCGCCCTTTTTCTTCTTCTTTTATTGCTAAAATAACCGCTGAGATATTCCTTGCACCCCGATACGGGCAGAAAAAAAGGAGAATCTTTGCAAACAATTCGTTGGGATTGGCTTGGCCCCCACATCTCCCCAATAAAAGGGACGGGCATTGTTCTCTTCCTCGCATTTGCATAACATGTTTTGTTACTTCCCTCCTTTAAAGCTCTTAACAGCTGAATTTCCTCTCTTCCAAAAAAGCTCAAGTCATCAAGATTGCTTGGCTCCTGCCATACAGTGTATTGCTGTGGAGCTTGAGGGACAATTGTAATGCAGAGATAGAGGATTTAATCAAGTAGGATGGACAAAACAACTGTAACAAAATTAATATTGTACCAATAATATGAATTTAGTAATATCCTGGTATGCATGGCAGAGTAATGCCAGAATGGTGTGCACAGTGGCATGCACTGTGTGTTTGATATTTATATTTGTAAACAATTATATATGTGTGTGTGCGTGTGTGCGTGTGTGTATGTATATGTATATGTATATATGTAATGCAGAGAACTCTTTGATTAGGAATGGTGGCTTATTTTCACCAGTGCTGTGTTGAGGAAATGTGTTTAGCATCAGTTTCCAAGAATTTCCAGGAGTTAAGCCATTGCAAAGTATCAGTTTACCTGTCTTTGGTAGACTTATTCTCTTGGATCAACATGGTCAACAGGTGGGTGGGTTCAGACTTGAAGGTCATCTATTGCTGAGGGCTGGATGGACCACCACAGCTGAGTGATGTAATTTAGATGTCTGTGAGTTGGCACCCTCTCACAGTGAGGCATGATGGTGGCTGCAATATACAAACGCATTGGCCAAAGACTACTTTGAACCCAAAGGAGACGTCCATCTGGAGGAAAGTGCCAGCTGCTTTGCTATATGAAGCAAGGCTCTAGTTTCAGGCTCTGCTGAGTAAGAAGTATTTGCTTTGCACCTCTGCTCAAAGTTTGATGAGGTCATCCCATTTCTCCCAACTCAAGAAGCACAGAAGGATTACCCACCCTTGGACGAGGCTGCCAATGGCATTCCCGTATAAGTCAATTTTGGCTTCCTTCTGATCAGGAACCATACTAAGAGTGGTGACTCATGCCGAAATACAGGCAGGTGGTCTCCTCTGAGGATGTGAGTAAGTCTTGTTCTTTGTTTGCTAAAAATAAGTCGTAGGAGCATTAGGAGCCCTGTGGTCCTCCAATTTTAAACCAGAAAAAAATCTTTTGTGTGCCTATTCAACCTTAGGCTGAGTCAGAATCAGCCTGTATGTGGTTGCAGTCTAAACTTTAAATCTAAACTTTAAGCTAGCCACCTGAAATATACTGAGGGAGGTTGCTATACTTTTTCCAGCTAAACACTTGTTCAAGATTGGATTCATTTGTGCAAAGGGCATAGAGATCAGGCTAGGTACCACTGGGAAATACTTCTTTAAGTGGTAAATACGATATTAAATTTGCAGGAAAGAGCCCATGTAATACCATCAATGTTTCTTTGCATGCATCAATAGCTGTGAAAGCATATTTATATGGTGCACGTTAACGAAGCTCATCACTAACAAATTGCCTCTCAGGCATCTGGAAGCTTTCATTACTAATTGGTTTTTAGAATGTGGCTTAAAGGACATCATTAACGTACAGATCCTCATCCTGTAATGAGTTAGAGAAAGGGAGATGAAGGAGGTAGTTAACAATCCCACTTCACTTTTACTTGTTGCTATGGGATTCCTCCTCCTTCATTGTTCAGTCTAAGAGATTTTGTGGGTTTTTCCTCATGCTGAAAATCAGGATCAGGCAAATAGCCAACAGCCTTCCTGAATCTGGCACCCTCGCCCTACATTACAATGTCAGCTTCTAGAATTCCCAGCCAGCATCTGGAGAATGCCAGGATAGAGAGCTATAAGAGCATTTGCATTCAGAGGGTGTGACTGGTTAGCATTAGCAAGAATCCAATGGGGCATCCGGACAGAGGATTCTTTGTGTTACCAGTCAAAAGTCACGGTGCAATTATATCTTCCTCCTTCTTCCAGGGCAATCTCCATACTTGGAAAAAGAGGAGAGGAAAGGCAGTGAGAAAACACAACTCGAAATGAAAGTAGACAAGGGGCACTCACACATTCTCACTGCTTAAAAGCAGCATGAAGGTAACGTGCCGTTGATTTCACTGAAGCCTCTTCAGACACTACAAGAACAAGAAGCAACACAGCGGGGCCAGTCTTGAGCTGCCCACTGGTTGAATCTTAGAATCATAGAGTTGGATGGGACTTGAAGGTCTTGGAGGAATTCTAAAACCATCCCAGACAAATAGCTGTCCAATCTTCGGTTTGATAACCTCCAAAAATAGGGCATCCATGACTCCAGGAGGTAGGCTTTTCTGCTGTTTTAACAGCTGTCAAGGTCAAGAAATTACTCTTTATTTCAAGTTTGGGTCTTTCTCTATAAAGCTTCTACCCATTGGTTTTGTCCTAAGCCCAGGGACTATTCATGCCCTTTTCCCTGGGACAGCTGTTCAAGTATTGGAAAGCTGCTATCATGCTTCCCCTTAGCTTTCGCTTTTTAAAGTTAAACATATGCAGTTCTTTTCACAGTTCTTCATATGAGCTACGGTGGCGCAGTGGTTAGAGTGCAGTACTGTAGGCTACTTCTGCTGACTGCTGGCTTGAATTTGGCAGTTCAAATCTCTTCAGGGTTGACTCAGCCTTCCGTCTTTCCGAGGTGGGTAAAATGAGGACCCAAATTGTTGGGGGCAACAGGCTGACTCTTGTAAACTGCTTAGAGTGGGCTGTAAAGCACTGTAAAGTGGTATATAAGCCTGTCTATTGCTATTTAGCTTCCCAGACTCCCGTCATCTTGGTTATTCTTTTCTGCACTCTTTCCAATTTCTCAGAAACCTTCTTGCAGGTATGTATGCATGCATGTATGTGTTTATTTATTACATTTATATGTCCTCTATCTCACTGTCAAGTGATTCTGTGGCGACCTGGACATAGAATTCCAGATGCAGTCTGACCAACTCAGTGAAAGGGAATGATCAATTTCTTGTGATCTCAACATTGTATCAGATAACAGATAATAGATAATCAGAGTTGGAAGGGACCTTGTAGGTCATCTAGTCCAACCCCCCGCCCAAGTGGGAGACCCTACACCATTTCTGACAGATGGCAGTCCAATCTCTTCTTGAAAGTCTCAAGTGATGGAGCTCCAACAACTTCTGAGGGCAAGCTGTTCCATTGGTTGATTGTTCTCACTGTCAGAAAGTTTCTCCTTATTTCCAGGTTAAATCTCTCCTTGTTCAGTTTTCATTCATTATTCCTTGTCTGGCCTACAGGCACTTTAGAAAATAGATTGACCCCTTCCTCTCTGTGGCAGCCCTCAAATATTGGAAGACCGCTATCATGTCTCCCCTGGTCCTTCTCTTCACTAGACGAACCATGCCCAGTTCCCGTAACTGTTCTTCATATGTTTTAGTCTCCAGTCCCTTAATCATCATAGTTGCTCTTCTCTGTACTTTTTCTAGAGTCTCAACATCTTTTTTGTAATGTATTGAACAAAACTGGATGCAGTACTCCAGGTGTGCTCTTACTAAGGCTTTATAGAGTGGTATTAGTACCTCCCATGATCTTGATTGTATCCCTCTGTTAATACAACTTAGGATTGCATTAGCTTTTTTGGCTGCTGCTGCTGCACACTGCTGGCTCATATTTAGCTGGTTGTCCACTAAGACTCCAAGATCCCTCTCACAGTTACTGCTATTGAGCCTGGTTTCACCCAGTCTATACGTATACTTTTGGTTTTTCTTGCCTAAGTGTAGGACATTACTTTCCTCTACTGAGTAACACTGTTGCCGCAACCTAACATTGCCTCAACAAGGATGATTCTGATTCTTTTGGCAGCTAAAGCACTCAGTTGCCTCATGCATAAATCACCTAAGACACCCAGATTCTTCAGAAAAGTAGTACTGCTACTTACCTTCTTCCTGCACATCAGGTTTTTCCTATTTTAGTCCACGTCCTGACACAACAACGAACATCTTGTTCCCATTCCATGTAAAACAGAATTAAATAAAACACTTTGTATGCCATATTGAGGTTGGGACTTTGTGTTGCATTCTGGCTTTCCAGAGAGATAAAAATCCCAATGGTTTTAATGAGAGAAAGCTGAAGAGCATTATGCATCCTGTTTGTTTTAAGGAGCTGGGAATTTGGTTGAAGGTGAGGGGGGGAAAGAGGAGTGTGTTAAAATAGTGAGCCATTTTGGTGTAGGGGTTAAGGCATCAGGATAAAAGCCAGGAGTTCTAATCCTACCTTAGGTACAAAGCTAGCTAGGGCCAGCCATTCTGTGCCAGCCCTAGGAGGACAATGGCAAGCCACTTCTGAAATCTTAAGAAAAACAAAAAACAAAATCTATAGGGGTTCATCCAGCAGTCACCAGAGGAGAACAACTTACTCACCACTAGTTCCAGAGTTGCAATGCCTCTTACACACTGAGGCTGAACTACTAGAAACGATGCAGTTTTGATTCTGGAAATGCACGCATACTATGCTTGGAGGTGCTCAATATCTGATTTCTCTTGATTCTCTGTGGTTTTCTCCTGTTGAGGCACAGTCATCATATAATCACAGCCACTCCAGAGCTTAGCGCTCTCTCCACCGCACACACAGAAAGAATTGTCCAGTAAAATGAAAAGCAGTTGAAATGTGCCTATTTCTTTCAGTTTGATAATGGTGAGGGGGAGGATAAGTGTGATTAAGACGCTGACAGAAACTTGAAATGAGAATTGTCTACTTTAGGCAAGTAATAGACTGCTCTTCATTAGATGATTAGATTATCATTAGCATGACTCCATTGCCTTTGGGGGTGTAAATTAAAAGCAGGATTATGACTACATCTCAGTGGTGCATTGCTTGATTTTGGGACAATCTGGCAAAAGGTTGCTTGCACTCTCTAGCAACAGAGATGCTGCCATGAGTAACATCCTGGAGCAACAGGGAGTTTTGTGGAGGAAAAATATCAGAAATATTGTAACAGGGTTTAGATTTGGCAATGCATTAAAAAAAAATCAAACCCTTTGGGCTACTTGCCAATGGCTCCAAATGGACCATCTATTACTAAGGGACCATCCCTTTTTACTCCAGTTAGTCCAGAACAGGGTTCATATTGATATGCAATCCTTAAGCAGTGTAATCCTAGGAGAAAAGGGGAGAGAACTGTGTAATGACTTGGCCCTTGTCAGGTGTGAACAAGCAGACATACACGTGAAGAGTTTAAACTATCTGGGAATCTTCCCAGACTGGCAGTTTGCCCGTAGGAAAAACTCGATAAGGTTCAACAGCTTTCAAGGGGGTTCAGACCTCGCCCTCTTATGTCTATGTAATGATTCCAGACTAATTCCCCATCTGACCCCTCCTCCCGACTGGGACAGTCTCTTTCCAACAGCCCCACAGTTAAACATCCACATTGCCCTGTCACTAGTAATGAATTAAACCAGGGGTCTCCAAATTTGGCAACTTTAAGATTTCAACTCCCAGAATTCCTCAGCTAGTCATGTTGGCTGGGCAATTCTGGGAGTTGGTCCACAAGTCTTAAAGTTGCCCAAGTCTGGAGACTCCTGCCTTAAATCATCTGCAAGATGCTCTCTAGACTTCCATCACTCCCTGCCAGCACACCCTAAAATTACCATGATTTTCCTGGTTTGAATGAAAACCCCAAAGCACACAAATTTTTCTCTTATACAGTATGTGTCTTCCTTTTCAAGGTCAACACTCTGCTCTTCGACAACTGGAACACAGGACCAAAGGCCAGAGGGCTGCAGCATTCAAGGTGCCTCGCTCTGAATTTAGTTAGTACTAGCGACTACTTATTAGCTGGGATGTCATGAGCCTCAGCTTAATTACAGCTCTAAAACTTGTCAAACTAGCTTTTGTAGCGATCTCTCCTCCCCCCCCCCGCCCCCATCCCTCCACTGTGCTTCCTGGGGAGCTAAATGAGAAAGTACAGGTGTCCAAAGGAGCCCAATGTAAATCACAACTGCGTAACGTCAGCTCTATATCAGTCTGAGGTTTTGCTGGCCCTCATCACATATTTAGGACAACATTGCCTCCAAATAATGTTTCTGTGGTGGCTTATTTTGCATTGGGAGGAGAAATAGTCCCTGAGCACACAGGGGTCTTGTGTAAATGTCTAGAAGAGCCCTTTTCTGCTGTGGCTCCTCCCCTTTGGAAGATTGCATTCCCTCAAGGTGAGATCCTCACTCCTGGCTTTCGGTAGGGCCTGAAGATCTGACTCAGCCAGTTGGCCTGGGACCTCAGTGAGAGTGCATCATGTTGGATTAAGGAAATTTCTGTATTTTATGCTCCAATCCATTTTTAATGGTAAATCGTTACTGTTATTTATTGTTTTAATGTTTGCCCATTTTTAATGTTTGTAAACTACCAATAGTTGCCTCTGAATGAGGTAGGCAATGCACATATTTAATAAATAAATGAAAATAAATAGAGGCAGTGGAAGCAATGCTCCGGATCCTTCTTTATCATACAAGTGCTGAGTGGATTATAACACGGAGAAGAACATCTGGACCTACAGTAGTTTACAACCACAGGGACCAAACTCTATAACAGGGGTGGGCTTGTTAGAGTCCACCCCATCAGCATCAAGTAGGTGGTCATTGGTTTGGGATGATTGGAGATATAGTATTGTATTTTAGGGTTGCTGTTTCTCATTTTGTGGTTTTAAATGTGCACCAACCTGAGTCACCTTTTGAGGGAAAGCTTCATCGTTGCCTGATTGGATGAATAAGGTGGAGTTGGCAGCTTCAAGGTGGCCACATCCGGCTCATTTTTCTTAAGACAGACCAATAAATTGGGACTCTGAACTCAGCCAGACTGGCAGAGGCCTGTGAGCTGAGGAACAGCTTGCATGTCGTTGGTTTGGTGCCTTGTTTCAAAAGCCAAGGATAAGACCAAAATTTTGAAGTCGACACTCAGTCCTAAAAGCAACACAGAGCTGCTTTGTGCTTCCAACAGTAGTGGAGATGGCCATTTACACCACCATTTCTCACTTGGAGAAAAGTTACAACTCTCAAGGATTGGCCAAAGTTATAGAAGCTGAAGTGTTGGCCCATTTGCCTTCCTGAAAGTGAGCAAAAATGCATCTCTCTCTCTCCCCCCTCCCCCCTCTCTCTCACACACACATTTACTTTGATTCAGAATGGACTTTCTCTTCCCTCTTCTCCTCCCCCTTCTTCCTAGTCGGTAAGAGGAAAAGCTGCCCAAATCTGACACCGTTCGATGGAGTGAATAATATTTCCCATGCCAAGGCATATGCATATATATCTTTATATATATATAAAGAGAGAGAGAGAGAGAGAGAGTCTGTCCTCCAATACTGCTAATTCCCTCCTTGTGACACCACAAATTTGACAACTGTGTTCTTATTTCCTCAGGAAATTTCAAATGGCTTTGGGAATGAAGTAGAATGGGCACGATCCAGCTTCTCAGATGGCCAGTACATGTGTGTAAGAGATGGATTCCCACTGGACTTAATAAAGCCATGGGGCCTTGGCTGGATAGCCAAAATATACACAAGGAGGGGTCCTGGCTCAGCACGCTGACTAGAAATATTGGCTTGTCTGCCCAGTTTCAGAGATAAAGTTGATCTTTGCAATGCTTCCATTTCCCAAGGACTTTAAAAAAAATTGATAGAATTCCAGGGCCTGTTTTTTGAGGAAGAGAAAAATGTGCAGTTTCAGCAAGTTCAACTTAAAAAAAAATCATTTGTTTATTTAATATATTTTATCATGCCATGCCCCACAAGCACTTGTAGCCCTGTATAAATAAAATAAAAAACAAAACAGCAGATCAAATGTATTGATCAACCAATATACCCACAGCCTCAGCCTGTAAAATCGCAACTTAAACAGGATAAAGTACAACTAAGTGTAATTAAATACACCAGTTTATTTTTTGTTTTAAAGTTTACTTCAGTTCTGGAATACTGATTCATACATCTCTGAGTTCAACTCATGATGAATTAAGCAATGAAGAACTTTCAGTAGATTTATTAAAGTCAAGTCAGCCAAGACAAAACAGAGCAGGACATAAATATTTCAGAACACATAGCATTAGGCAATACCAAAAAAATAATGAATTGTAAATATTCAACATTGCTTAACTACTAACAATGTGTCAAAAATATTCATGCAGTGCTAATTAATTCACTAATGAAGAAAGGAATTCTATCAATTGATCTGGTTACAATATATGAAGAAACCTGGATATTCTTGAATTCAGAGCTGGATGCAGCATTATTTTTCAATGGCTCTTGTCGTTAACAACACTAGCTCTGTGATGAATGCTGTTAAATCAGATCTTCAATACATTTCCAGACTGATCCTATGCATCTGGACTCCAGGTTTATTCCTTTGGCATTCAGTGCATGCTGAATGATGGGTGCTGTGATCCAACATATCTGCAAGGACCTATTTGGGAAGGCCCCAGACAGGGATGAGAGCAGGGATGCAGGTAGTTCTCGACTAACAGCCATTTGTTTAGTGACGGTTTGAAATTACAATGGAACTGACTTATGACCATTTTTCACACCACCATTGCAGCATCCCCATGGTCATGTGATCAAAATTCGGAGGCTTGGCAACTGGCATGTACTTATGATGGCTGCAGTGTCCTGGGGTCATGTGATCAACTTTTGCATCCTTCCGACATGCAAAGTCAATGGGGAAGAAGCCAGATTCAGTTAACAACCATGTTACTAACTTAACAACCACAGTGATTCACTTAACAACAGTGGCAAGAAAGGGCATAAAATGAGGCAAAACTCACATAACAACTGTCTGGCTTAGCAATGGAAATGTTGGGTTCAGTTGTGGTTGTTAGTCAAGACCCACCTAACCTTGACTTGCTTGACAATTTTTGAGGCAGTGTCCTCTGCTAGGGACAGTTCACCCTTTACCTTCTAAGATAGCAATTTCAGTCAACTGCGCTTAAAAAGGCTAGAAATTTGAGCCCCCTCTTCTCCATCAGTAGGTAACACTGGGTTCCTGCCAAGTCTATGTATACTCTGTGTCCTAAAACTCGATTTAAAAAGTGTGCTCTATCCCACCGTCAGGTCTATGGGGTCAACCTGTACTCTTACACCATGTCCAGAATCGGAAACTCCCAACTTCCAAGTTGTATCCCTGATTTTGGACTACCTGTAGCTAGAAGGTGCTGCATCGGCTTGATCAGGTTGCTACCTTTGCTATAAATATCTAACTATAACAACCCTCTTGGGTCCCTATGAATAATTCTCACACCCTCCCTGTTACTTTGCTGAAATCAGAGGTGGTGATACTTATGTGGTCCTTCGTCTCAAAGAAAACTTTAATACAGCGTGGTGCATCTCAGGAGCTGGCTAAGATGGCAAGTGATGCTACTGGCATTTCCATTTGCTGTAGCTACATTACTAGCCCATTAAAAAAGAAAAACAATAGAAAAATTAGTTTTTGGACATATGCAGCAGCTAAATGCTGTAGAGAAAAGGGCCTTTGAGATGTTATTGGATGGTGAAGGAAAAAAATGCTTCGAGTCACAGTGTTTCACTGAAGTCGGATAAGCTGGGTTTTTTTGGGTGGGTGGGTGGTTTCTCTCTCCACTTTTATGATATCATCGTCATTATGACCGTCATCCTTTTTTACTAGCCTTTCCTTGCCAGATTGATCTACTACAAGATTGTGTTTGCTTTTCTTTATAAAAGTCACATTTTTTTTCTTTTTCACATTCCTTTTCTCCCTCCGCAGATTAAAAAAAATGATACATCTGAAAGAAATACCACAGCACACAAGTGGGCCGGTCCCAGCATTGGCAATTTCCTTCAGACTGAAATGTTATCGCCTGGCTGAGTACATTATTGTGCGAGATAGCTGAGCTTTCCCAAATGTCAAAATTCAAGTCAGAGATGCCTCAGTGCTTGTTATCAAAATGCTTTTGTTTTACTTGAAAGCCCTGAGAAAAGATAGAGGGAAATTCTCCACAAAGAATCAGAGACGTGGCAAACTCATGAGGAAATTCACCTTAGGAATGAATAAATCTGTTCATTTGAGAACTATATGTCCTTCAGAGGTTCCTACTCCTGACTGTCTTATGAGACTTTTAAAAATTCTCCCCAAAATATCCCTGATGACGAGGGTGAGGGGTTGTCAACCTATTCTCCAAAGCACCTGAGGGCAGGACAAGAAGCAATGGATGGAATCTAATCAAGGAGAGAAGCAACTTAGAACTAAGGAGAAATTTCCAGACAGAACAATTAATCAGTGGAAAAACTTGCTTCCAGAACTTGGGAGTGTTCCAACACTGGAAGCTTTTAAGAAGAGATTGGACAACCATTTGCCTTAAATGGTATAGGGTTTCCTGCCAGAACAAGGGGTTGGGCTAGAAGACCTCCAGGTTCCCTTCCAACTCTGTTTCTCTGTTATTTATTTTTGTAAAAAAAAAATCCCTTCCAATATATATTTGGACTGTGTAGAGCATGTTGATGTCTTTCAGTTGCCAAGAATTGCATCACAATTTTTAGGGGAAAGTGAAATTTGATGGATAACGAATCTTTGGTCAACACAGGAACGTAAGAAGAACAGATGAATGTTAATATAGGAAAACTCACAAAGACTGGATGGCTATGACAGTCCTAGTTGAGATGTACCCTGAACAGGAGTTTCTGTGGCTTCTCTACAATCCAGAACATACTTTGCTGGCTTGAATAGGATGTCAGCTCAGTCTGAGGGCTTCTACAGGATTAATGCCACACTTTCCCTTGTTTTTCTAAAAGCTTAGGTAACCTTCACCCCAGGTTGCAATCAATAAATACTGACTGTATGTCTATTTCTGCAGAATGGGATGGTTTTGTAAAAAAAATTCATAGGGTGCAGCCTATTAAATTTCAAATAAATAATACCACGCTTTTGTATTAAAAAAAGACAATAAATAGGCCACAGGGTGCCTGTAAGCAAACATGTGTTTGCAAGTTCTTCTCATCATCCTCTGTCCCACTTCATTTCATGTTTTAAAGTGCTTTTGATTAAAACAATATTCATTGGCAAGTTAAAATGCTACAAAGCAAAACCCACCCCTATGAAATCATTTTTATTAACCAGAATGCATTGGGCTCCAAAGGCGTTCTTAGAAAAATGAAAAGGATAGGTTAAAGGGGTTCGTTTTGCTTGGTTTGGGATGCTTACCTGCTTAGAAAAAGGTAGGGATCAACAGAGGAATACTAGGAAGAACCTAGAGAAAGAGTGCAAAGAAAGAAGAGCAACAAAGATGATTAGGGCACTGGAGACTAAAACATATAAAGAATGGTTGCAGGAACTGGATATGTCTAGTCTGATGAAAAGAAGGACTAAGGGAGACATGATAGCAGTGTGCCAATAACTCAGGGGTTTCCACAAAGAAGAAGGAGTCAAGCTATTCTCCAAAGCACCTGAGGGTAGGACAAGAAGCAATGGTAGAAACTAATCAAGGAGAGAAGCAACTTAGAACTAAGGAGAAATTTCCTGACAGATAGAATAATTAATCAGTAGAACAATTTGCCTCCAGAGGTTGTAAATGCTCCAACACTGGATATTTTTAAGAAGAGATTGGACTGAAATGGTGCAGAGCAGGGGGTTGGACTAGAAGACCTCCAAGGTCCCTTCCAACTCTGTTATTCTATAGACAATTTGGGATGAACCCCTTGGAATGGGGTGGGAATAGGAATGGAAAAAACCCACAACCGTTTGCCTTTTGATCCATTTCTTTTTAAAAAAAGTTTTTAAGAAGAGTTGTTAAGAAGAGATTGAACAATGATTTGTCTGGAATGGTATAGGGTTTCCTGCCTGAGCAGTGGGTTGGACTAGAAGACCTTCAAGCTCCCTTCCAATTCTGTTATTTGGTTCTGTTATTCTTTTCGTTTTCGAGGAGCTTGATCCAATATAGCAACCATTTTGTGCCTAGTGGCTTCCTCTCTGGGCAGCCATTTTGGGAGAGGCTTATCTTTGTAATTCTCAAATTCCTACCCACCCTTTGCTTCTTGCTTGCTGCAGATGAGCTGCCTCACTTTCATATTTCTAGCGCTGTTTAACCGAATACATTTTAAAGTGTACAGCCACCCACTGGCAATCGCCCATGGAAAAGAAGGCAAACTGAGCTGGTGCGAAATGCCACTTTGGGGGCATCGCAAGAGATTCTCAGAGTGAGGGCTATAGGAAAAAAGGCAGGCCTTTTTGGGCATGAGTTCACACTCAAACATTAGGGTCTGTTTTCAGTAACCAGGCATCCTTGGTGGCCTTCAGAATGTCATATTTGTAAGACAAGGACTTTAGTTCAGTGACAAATGAGCATATATCATGGAGATTGATTGTCAGCACCTCCGTATATATTTAGGGATTGTTAGCAAGCAGGAAACAATATCCTCCCATTGTAACTGCGTGTCACACATTCCTAAAGTATAACAGATCTGGGAAGGCAAAGGCATGGCTGGAGACAGTCCAGGGAATCACCATAATTTAGAGCTTGAGATCTCTCTGCTCTCACAGCAACCCTTCTCTCGTTATTTGCATTTCTACACAGGCTCCTTCCGTAAAAGTGCTTTAAAAGTGTGCCTCTCATATGACAGAATTTGAATATGGTGGGTTGCTTTTTGAAAAGAAGTTTCCAATCCCGCCGAACTTAATCCTTGGTTCTTCATCCCATCTCCATGCCCACACTCTAACCTTACAAGCACATCTTAATACTAAATGGGTGAAATGTTCTTTACAAATGGAAGCCAAATTACAGTTAAGTAACGATAAGACAAATTGTCATCCATAATGTTCACAAGTGACAAGAAGAAAACCTTCAGCTGCCCATGTTTCATTTCTAGGCATTGTTAAAACATCATAGCAACTGGAGGAGAAGTATTAGTTGATTAGCCAATTATTTTTTAAAAAACTTTCTTCCTAGACAATTTAAAGGGATTAACAGAGTAACAGAGCTGAAGTGACCTTGGAGGTCTTCTAGTCCAACCCGCTGCTTAGGCAGGAAACCCTACACCATTTCAGACAAACGGTTATCCAATCTCTTCTTAAAAACTTCCAGTGTTGGAGCATTTACAACGTCTGGAGGCAAGTTTTTCACTGAATAATTGTTCTAGCTGTCAGAAAATTCCTCCTTAGTTCTAGGTTGCTTCTCTCCTTGATCCAGTTTCCATCCATTGCTTCTTGTCCTGCCCTCAGGTGCTTTGGAGAATAGGTTAACTCCCTCTTCTTTGAGGCAACCCCTGAGATCTTGGAACCCTGCTATCATTGATAGGGTAAAAAAAATCAAGATGGTGGTTTCAACTGTATAGTAGAAGTTCTGTCTGTTTTTTATGTATATTACATTATCAAAGGGGACAGATCTTCAGTCATATGGCCCTGGACTCTTCTGACACTACAACTTGGTGGATGCCTGTGGATATACAAGTAGACCTCAGATTACAATCAACGGAATTGGTACTGGAATTTCTGTTGCTAACCAATGCTTAAATGAGC